AGACCAGAGGCAATGATGAGCGCTGACTGACCACAGCTTTCAGAGTGAGTCGTGTTACCTTAAGGAAGGTGAACACTCACGTTAATGGCTGAAAAAGAAAAAGCAGCAAGCGAAGTATTTCTGAGAAAGGAGACAGGGTGGGGGTTGGGGCTGGGGGTTGGAGATTGGGCTATGATAAGAGAGTGCAGGTGTGGTGTACATGTGGGTAAACCTCAATTTTCTGGGGAACATATAGGGAGGAGGGAAAGAAGAAGTTAAAAACTCTCTTCTCCAGGAGATTTTATATCAAATATAATTTGATTATAATTACCCCCTTTTGTTCTATAGACTTTTACCGAGTGCCTCTTATCTGCGAGAGATAGGTGATTGGAATTCCAAGAATTAGACCCCTGTGGCTGAGGCCCAGTGCTGTGGGCGGTTCTGGGCCTCAGCCCCACCCAATTGTCGCAGAAGGTGACCCAGCTCTGGCCAAGGTCCAAGTGATCAAGCCCAGCCCTGCCCCGAGCAGAGAGAGGAACACTTCACTCCCACCTCTATTTCCCCAACCCTTTCCCTTAAGAGGATTGTTAGAGCCTTCCCTTGGAAATGAACACCGAATCAGTGCATTGAGAAAGGTAGGTGTGGTCTGATTAGAATGTGTCCATCAAAAGGAGGGTGACTCCAACAGGCCGAGCACAAGGCCTGGCTGGGTTCAGCTGCGGAGGGGCACTCAGCAGCCGGGTCTTATTCTGAAAAGACATAGAATAAAGAAACAAAGTGCATCTCGGTGGTGTGGGTAAGTCTTGTTTCATGGAATTTTGCTTTCTGCAGAGATGGGGGAAGTTCACAGCTTAGAATATATATGAGTTCACAGCTTAGAATATATAGTTTACCCTTGTCCCGGTTAGGTTTTGAAAACCGCAGGTGGGAAGCGCCTTATCCTACCTCCAGGCGGGGAGTGGAGCTTGGTTAGGAAGCAGACTTCTGGTTTTAGGCTGCATTGACCTCCGGCTGGCTGGGGTCACTAGTTCCAGGCATTTAAAACTGAGAATAGAGGAAAGTAAAGACACTTTGAAGACAGTATATGCCTGGTTGAAATGTCCTTGAAGTTGCATTTTGTCTGTTTCAAAATTTATATAAATATTATATTTTATTACATGTCTAGGTCTGTTTTATATTACAATATTGATACTGTTTATTCATCAGAAAATAGATGTGTTTTCCCTTTCTCCCCTGCTCTAATTATCCCGGCAAATGGCAGTACCATCCACCTTATACTCCACTGATTCTTGATTCCACTGCTTCCATGCTCCCTCATTTATCTGCTCTCATTCTATTGTCCCTAAATCCATTCTTCAGTTCAGCCTGCCTAACACGGTAATGTAAATCTGAGCAGCATCCTTGCTGGAAATCCTGAAATGGTTCCCATTGTTTTGAAAATGAAATGCAAATAGCTGCCGCTGTGCACCATACTGCACCCCCCTCATTTGCATCTTAGACTGTTCCGTCTTTGGGGGCTCTATCCCATGGCTTCCTTTGCCCTGAAGAATGGTCATGGCTTTGTAGGTCCCTGCCACGACCTGGAAAGACCTCTCCTTTTACCTGTTTGCACAGGTTCATAGTCTCCTTGTGGCGCTTTCCAGCTGATCTTTTAAAGATGGCCTTCTTGGGAATTTGCCGCTCACATCAGTGCATTTCATAGCATTTTTCTCAATCTTATTTTGTTTACTATTTGTAAGGAATTATTTACATTTATACCCCAGACAGATAAAAGAGCAACAAAACCAGTTTTATGTTGTTCACTGCTGTAGTGTCAGCCCTTAGAACACGGCTTGAAGTATTTGTTGAACATTGAGTAAGTGATGAACCCATGGAAATACTTATATCCCAGTCTGAGAAATAGACTTGATTAACCTTGTGCTATTGAGTACTCATTTAACGGCCAGATTTTGTCTTCTTAACATGTTCATTCAATAACTCAGTTTCCCATGGGGTTATTTTCACCAACAGAAAATGTGTTTGTCGTATAAACCGGAGTTTTTCCATGATAAAGACAGTATCATTCCAATTTTATACACCAGTCCCATAAAAACTTTTCACATGCTATTTAGAGGTCTGGCAAATAAGAGTCCAATTTGGAAAGGTAAGAACCAAGCTCGGACCTTGGTAAATTCTTAAAGAAAATATTGCTCTCAACCCTCGTCTCTTAAAAGATGACTTTCTATTTAACACCTTGGTATCACTGACAGCTAAGTTTTTGGAGTTTCCACATCAAAAATTTTTCCAAAAATCAAAAAAGATTTGCAGAAAATTCATTTTATAGGTCCCTTAAAAATTAGTATGCTGATTAATGTATATACATTCATCGATTCATTTTACTAGAAAAAAATGTTGGAACAAGTAAGACAGAAGAGGCCCTTTTTCTAAGAGAGCTTACTGTATAGTAGACAGAGAGGCCTTATTGTATAGAGGCCTTGAATAGATAATACCAAGAGGCTCTGATCATTTAATGGGGGTGGGGGGGTATTTAGCTTGGGAACTTAACAGCCTAAATATTAAAGGGAAGCTGGCCTCAGTAAATGTTCAAGCAGAGAGCTGATGTATGGGTGGGAATTAAATAAGAGTCAATGCAAGTACATGTGCACGTGTGCTTATTGGGGGTGTGGGAGAGTGGATATTTTGATGAAGGAAGAACAGGGGACCAAAATATAATCATGATGCTTTATTGAAGAAGAGTTCATTATGGCTGAAAATTGAATAGGAGAATTGGAGGTGGCAGGACATCAGTTTGAAGAGAAAAGCAGGAATCAAATCAATTTGCAGCTATTTGGAGAGAGGGCTTTCGTGTATCATCTGACTCAAACTTTAAACCCAATTGCTAGTGATTTTCTTCCAAAGGTGTTAATATTCATTAATAAAAAATGTTTCAAAAATTGTATTTAACTATTAGAACAAGGCAAATATTTTTAGGCAAATATTCCCGGACAGTCTCCTTGATTTATGTCACCTTTCTAAAAGACAGTATAAATAATAACACTTGTATCATTTAATAATTTATATATACAGATATGATAAATACAGTATGTTTACAGGTATGCATATAGAGTATGTATGAAATAAGATCTATTTATAGATATATAATTATACATTAATATGTGTAGATATAAATGTTTAAAAAAAAATTTAAAATGCTTCCCTTAGCCATTGAAAAGTAAATTTTGTTTTTAATATAAGTATTTTTTTGTCAAAAGTTGATAGCATAAATCTTTTGAGTTTTTTTTTAAATGTAGTTACTTGAAAATATTTTAAGGATGTTAATATTTAGTCCACTACTGTTATATTTGTTCCTTTTTAAAAAACATTCAATGAAGAATGAAAACTATTGTGGGCCACAAAACCTATGACTTTACTTTTTTTTTCTGACTTGCATTCATAGGAGATAGGTATGCACGATTTCATCTGTTTTATTTGCTAGAACCTTATCTTCTAGAATGAGGCTGGGCAATCTATAGCCATGGGCCAAATCCAACCTCTCCCTTTTTCACTGGAACAAAGCCTTGCTTATCCTTTATGTATTGTCTAAGGTTGATTCTGCCCTGAAAAAAGCAGAGTTGCACAGTTGTGATATAGGACTATAGGGGCCATGAAATTTAAACCTGGCCTTTAATAGAAAATGTTTGCTACCCCTGGGCTCAGAATAGTACTTGATATTTAATAGAATCCAACATAGGATGAATACAAAGATGAAATAACACTAACTCACCTATTACTCAACATTTGCTGTTTCATGAACTATACTAAGCACTTTATCCACATTACTTCATTTGATTTTCACAACAGTACGACACAGAAAATAGGCACCTCTAAGTGTTCAGTCAACTGCCACTACCTGAGTCAAGGTTTGGCTGAGCACCTTACTCAAAATTGCAAAAACTCTTACTTTGTACCAGGCCCTTTGCTTATTCTATAACATGTCACCTTATAACATGACATACATTGCACACTTTGTGTACTTATGAGAATGTCTACGCCATGCAGTGTGGGTTTTTTTTTTTTTTATGTCTGCTTAGTGATGAATCTCAACGCATTAAAAGCCTAGAGTAGAGTCAGCACATCGGGAGGACCTAATAATTGTAGATGATCAATTGAGCCAGATTCCTTGTAGGGATATCCAAGTAAGATTTGGTTATGCCTTATGTCTTTTTTTTTTTTTTTTTAGATTTATTTATTTATGCATTCAAGAGCTGGGGTGAAGGCCAGAGGTGTGGGGTGGGGCAGGTGAGAGGATTCACCGGAGACAGAGTGGGGAGCAGAACAGGCTGAATGACTAAAATACACTGCTGGGAGCAGCGGATAAGACAGGAGACGTTTGCAGTGCCATTTGGGTTAGCCCCCTGGGTGGGAATGGAACTCCTGCTGCAGTGCTGGAGATAGCTTCATAGTGCTGACACTTAAACCCTGTACCACAAGCGAGACCCTTATGGCCTATGTCTTACCTCAGAGAACATTCTCTTTATCCCTTGGAGAGTTTGTCAGATCTAAATGTAGCCTCCATGGTGGTGCAGGTGTTAAAGTCTCAGCACCTTCAAGCTATCACTAGCGCTGCAAGAGTTTGATCCCAGACCAGGGAGCTGACCCACATGGTGTAACAGACCTCTCCTGTCTTGCCCGCTGCTCCCTCAGCAGTGATTCTCAGTAGATCTTCCTGTTCTGCTCCTCACATTGTCTCTGGTGAATTCTCTCACCCGCCCCCTACCCCCAACACCTCTGGCCTATACCCTATTTCTTGTATACATAAATAAAAATAAATCTTAAAAAAAATAAATAAAAATAAATGTAGCCATTCCATTATTGTAAAGAGAGTTCTGGGTCATTTTCTGAGGTCATGTGGCTCTAATGTTGAAATGTATTTTAACTATTGGCTGCTATCTTAACACAGGTACTTGCTGAAGGCAACTTATCCAGATTTTGCTACCTGAAAGTGAATGATATATCTTGGTGCACTAAGTCTTCAAGGAGAAAGCAGGCAAGACGACATGGACCAACAACTGAAGAAAAAGACAAAGGCACATGGACGCAAAGGCCTCAGTAAAAGAGCAACCAGTGGGCCTAAGTCAAGCTCAGCCAAGTCAAGGTCCACCCAGCAGGAAGAAATGGAACCTCTCAACACCACATGGGACTTACCTGATGAAGATGTGTTCTATGAGACTCGTTTTCAGGATGGAGATGATTCTTTCTCTGATTGTTACATAGAATGCATCATAAGAGGTGATTTCTCTCAACCCCTCCTGGAAGAGGACTCACTTCTTACGTCCTTTGACTCCCTGAAAGAGGGGTCAGAACAAGAGCTATCTCAACAGGTTCTTGCAGCAAGCTCCTTTCTTGAATGTTCTTTGGAATATAATAAAAATGAGGCAAAAAAAGAACTCTCTCAACTGATTATTGGAGAGGATCCATTTCTTGAGTATTCTGAATGCATCACAGACCAGAAGCTTCCTCCTGGAGGAAAACCCAGCATTGGATTACCAGATCCTAGACAGCTTACAGAATTTTCAAGAGAGATGCCAAGTAAAAATAAAGAATGTGATGTTCTGAAAAATATTGCTTGTCCTCATGTTGGATGTACAAGAGTGTTGGCAAATAAAGGTTCCCTGAGAAAGCATCTCCTTATTCATGGACCCCGAGATTATGTCTGTGCTGAATGTGGAAAGGCATTCACTGAGAGCTCAAAACTAAAAAGGCATTTTCTGGTTCATACTGGAGAGAAGCCATTTCAGTGTACCTTTGAAGGGTGCGGAAAACGCTTTTCCTTGGATTTCAACTTGCGCACACATGTACGCATCCACACTGGCGAGAAACTTTTCGTGTGTCCCTTTGAAGGTTGTAACAAGAAGTTTATTCAGTCCAATAACATGAAAGCACACACCTTAACTCACGCAAAAATCAAGAACCAGTGAAAGTGAAGAAGGAAAATAATCCCTCAGTAGGATAAGTGTATTGCAAAAGAATGTGAACAAATATGCCTCGCTGATTATTGCTTCTAGGAAAGAATTTTTAAATCAGTATTGCAACCCTAGAATTCTGCCTTTTTTTTTTTTTCCCCTAGTGGACTGAGATGCTCTTACAGTTTGTGATGTTGTATAAGAATGTTGTATACAGGATTATAGGGCACTTCCAACCAACGGAAAGGTCAGTTAAGAACAAAAACAGAATCCTTGGTACATTAGGAACTGATTATTGGATTTGAGGCTTATTTTTTCACATACTGTAAATGTAAAATTAGCTCTGGTTTTTAAGTTTGTGGTTTCTAATTGTTTAACTTTTGCCTCTTAGGACTATGTTATGAGTGATAATCCTAGAGAAAGAACTTTTGCAGTAGATTTTCAACAAGTAGATGAGTAAACTTTTTTAAAGTTAAATAAGTTAAATATGTTTAATCATTTTCTTTTTATCATTGTATCAAACTCTTGAAATCATATAACTAAATGTGAGTGATTACTTAATAGTTTTTAATCCATTTTAAAGATTTTAAAATAAAAGGAAGTAAAATCCTAGAAGTATGCTAAATCTGAATTGAAAAATAAAAAAATTGTGCATTAAAAAGTGACACTATGTGTTTGTCTACAAAATTAGCAAAACATTGCAGAGACTTGACAGTTTGCTATTGTTGGGGGGAATTACCCTTCTACACAACTGGGTAACTTAATTAACAGAAACGTATTGTCCCATAGGCTAGAAGTCCAAAATCAAGACATTGGTGGGATTGGTTCTTTCTGAAGTTGTGAAGGATCTGTTTTAGCCTTTCTTCTTGGTTTGTAGATGACTGTCTTCATGTACACATTGCATTCTCCCTGTATCATCACATCATCTTCCTATGTGCATGTCTGTGTCTAGATTCCCACTTATAAGGACTACAATCATGGCATCAAAATGCACCCTAACAACCTCATTTTAACTTGATTACCTATATAAAGACTCCATCAAACAAGGTCACTTATGAAGTACTGGGATTTAGGATTTCAGCATGAATTTGGGGGGAGAGGGTTCATGGTCAATCCATAATGTGTACTTTTAGACTCAATATTTTAATTCTAGAATTCTGTTTTACAGAAATATTTGCACTAATATATGAAAATACTTAGGGATATTAACTAAAGCATATTTTAATAGTAATAAATTCATAAATGTCCATTAAAGAACAAGTTACATAAATAAGGATCTCTCCATTCAATAGAAAATGTGCAAGTATTCTTAAAGGAAGCTTGTCTGTAAAAGCAGTTAAAAAAGGGCCACAGCTTCAGTGAAGATAGAATAGGGAGAAGTTTGTTATTTTTAATAGATGGGACAGTATTTGATATGTTTATGTGCTGTGGAAGAAAACGTAGAGAAAGTGGTTAAACATAATCATTTTTTATAAGAGGGGAAATTGATTATCCAAAGACGACTGCCAAAAATAAAACTAGGCTCTAATAGGGATTAACTCATTTTATGATTATAATAACTGAGTCCTTGATTGGAGTCACCTTATATTAGGCAGAAAATACGCCATCAAACTTCACATGTATTTCTCTCTCAGAATCAATACTATAAATGATCAGATATAGTTAGAGTACCATATTTGATTTTAAGATTTCAGACACAATTGGCAGTAATGCTCATATATATGTTAACAGATTTTCAGGAAATCAATACACTATAAAAACAAACCAACATTGTGGGGCCTCCTGGGTGGCGCAGTGGGTTGAGCGCAGCACTGTGAAGCTATCCGCAGCCTCTGTAGTGTGGGTTCGATTCTTGGCCAGCCAGGGGAGATACCCACATGGTGTGACAGACCTCTCCTGTCTTGCCTGCTGCTCCCCTCAGCAATGTTTTTCATCAGTCTGCCTGTTATGCTCCCCGCTCTGTCTCTGGTGAATTATCTCATCCTCCCATGCCTCTGGCCTGTACCCTAGTTCTTGTATAAATAAAATAAACCTTAAAAAAAAAAATTGAAATTTATCTTGATTTTAGAAATGCCAAAATAGGGGCCTCCCTGGTGGCACAAGGGTTTAAGCACAGCACTGTGAAGCTATCTGCAGGCTCTTCAACAAGCACGAGTTCGATCCTCAGGCAAGCCAGGGAGCTACTCACATGGCACTTTTTTTTTTTTTAATTTTTACTTATGCATACAAGAGCTGGGTACAGGCCAGAGATGCGGGAGGGTGAGAGGATTCACCAGAGACAGAGCAGGGAACAGAACAGGCAGACTGACTGAAATACAGTGCTGAGGGGAGCAGTAGGCGAGACAGGAGAGGTCTGCTGCATCATGTGGGTAGCTCCCTGGCCAGCCGGGGATTGAACTCGTGCTTCAGAGGCTGCAGATTGTTTCATAGTGCGGTGCTTAACGCCTTGTGCCACCAGGGAAGCCCTGTACTCCAGTTCTTGTATACATAAATAAATAAATCTTTCCCAAAAAATTTATAAAAAAAGAAATGCCAAAATATAAAAACATGTAAATTTAAAAACAGAAAAATTCTGGGGCTTACATTTTGACTACAGAGTGAGCTATTAATTACTAATGGGCTATTATGATAATACAATTTTTTATTTATAATTGGCAAGGCATTTATACCATCATTTCTATAGGAATGTGGATCCTGAGTCTGAGTTAAAAGGCACATTGAATACATAATCCATTCATAAATTTGGAATTTCCTCTGTATCTGAGTACAGAATTTAGAGTAGGAATTTGGTATTTGATCAAGATAATGGAGCACATATTTGTTTAGTGTTTGCTTCGATGACAGTGTGCTTGACTTGGTCCTTTATGGATTTCTACTGCTCAGTCAAATTAGGACATAGCCCCTCTGAAGGCTAAGCAAAAGACTAGGATTAAACCAGATAAAGACTAAATAAAGTCAATGGCAAGGTTTACATCCCAAGTGTTGAGACCTAAAACTCAGGTCATCAAAAGGGATCAAGATTGACTTCCCCTGTGGGGATACTGGCTATTTGTAAATTTCTCTTTCTGGAGCTGAAGGGACGAGAAAGTCAGTATTTATAATCCTAAAGCGAGGAACATCATTCTGAGAAAGTGTTTGTGCATCTAGATCAGGTTTAGTTAAATTCTGATATGGGAATAGGATGCTACTTGGCTAGTCTCTTAGCTGTCTTTTCAGTTTGTTTGTTTGTTTCCCAAAGAGAAACATAAAACTGCTAAGTGGAAGAAGGCAGGAGGATGTAATAAAAAAGGCAAAAGGAGATTAACTAATGAGGATATGTCATCTGAAATCTGTTAATGTTTCAGTAAAGAGATGTACATATACTTTCCACATTTTCATTTTCAGATGAGCGAACACAAGATGTGTGAACATATATAGAGAGAAAACTGAAAAAGAAAATAGATCTAGATTTTTACATTTTTGCAGATACTGGCATTTACAAACCAAAAAATCTCGATGAATGAAGTATTTATGTTTTCATGCTGGTATTTTAATTCATAGCCTATATCTTTTCTTAAAAAAAAAAAAGGCTGAACATTAATATCAGAAGGTAGAGGGGCCTCCCTGGTGGCACAACGGTTAAGTTGCAACACTGAAGCAATTGGTAGCCACTGCAGCATGAAGTTGGATCCCCAGCAGGGGTTCTGACCCACATTGGGCTGCATACCTCTCTTGTCTGCAGGCTGCTCCCCTAGGCAATGTATTTCAGTCAATATGCCTGTTCTGCTCCCCACTCTGTCTCTCGTGAATCCTCTCACCCTCCCCACATCTCTGACCTACACCCCAGATCTTGTGCACATAAATAAATCTTTTTTTTAAAAAAAGGTAAAATTAGAGAAATATTTTCTATGAAAGGCTGAAAATCATAAAACAGTCCGTTTTCTTATGACTGACATAAGCCATAATTAGTTGGCACAATAAATTATGGAATCAATAAATGAAAATACAGATAAATATGCTCTAAAAATGAATTAGAAAGTTATTTATATATAATTTAAAAACAGCTCATAAAGCATTGCTTGTTTTTACATAAACTCTGGTTACTGATTACATAAAATCTGGTTACTGAACACCTTTGCCAAAATAATGGAATGCTATTGGGCAGAAAGAACAGATGTATTTATTTGCCTATGCACACATCAACTCTTCCTCCCCAAAGTCCACACTCTTAAAAAAGATTTTAATAAGTTGTTTCATTCATTGATCATATGAATGAAAGTTACCATAAATCTCCTTTTCTTTTTTCCTCTCTTTCTCCTCTAGAAGGGACAGAAGACTGAGGGTCTCTTACCTTCTAACACTTTGGATAATGTAGAACTCACCTGTGTTGAAAATTGCATCCACCAAGACTGATTAGATAGTTTTTAAAAATGTTAAACCATTTACATTCTTTCTTTAAGTTAGTTTTTTTCATGTTCTATGATCTGTGTGTAGGTGTTACAAGGTAATATTTAATTTCTGTATTTCACTTTACCGACAACATATATTAGTAGACATAGGATTTCTATCCTATTCTATACAAAAAGAATTCTATCCCAAAGCAGATTAGTCAGATCTTTGTATGACTTTCCTGCAGAATATGCATGTGCAGAAACCCATGTGTGCTTATGTTTTAATTACCTAATGCACTAGCTCTGACTGAATAAATTGCATGATTACATCCTACATTGGACACAGAACAGTGCAAGTTATATTAAAATGCCATTATATTTGCAACTCTGAGTGAGAGACTATAATTAAAAGGCAATTGGATGAAATTAGCTTTGAGAGTACAAGAGTTTAAGTAGAATTTGGTAAATGAACATTAACAGTTAACATGTGGTTTTTATTAGTTTTTTTGCTTCTCCCCTTTCTGACCCCAGGGTTGAATTTCTTAGATGTCAGTGGACTAGACATGCAAAAACACCTGTAAAGCTATGCTTTACCATGTGTCTAAAGTTTTATCTATATGAAAGCCAATATAACTTTTGTGACTTCA